AAGGGAGCAAATTGAGAGATCAATGGCAGTAAAAGACTGACTAGGTGCATGAAAATAAGTATATGTACCAGTATTGAAGACAGAAAGGTTGTGATCCAAGAGCATATGCTCTATGGAATGACCCCTCCCATCAATATCAGCACCACCCCAGAAGTAAAAAGGGAGATGGCAACTGGTCAACGAGAGCATCAAGGTCTGATTGATCATAAGTCTCCCCAGAAGACAGGTAGAGAGAACAAAAGTGCTGGTACAACCCAAGGAAACACGGATGGCTATGACCTCCAAGGGTGTATCGAGGGACACAGATAAGGAGGGCACATGCTGGTCAACAAGCAGTGCCACCCCTCCATGCACCCGCCCATCACACAACCTGTCATTCCGGTACAGAGAAAACTGCCGAAAGGTGACTGTATCAGTAGGTTTCAGGAATGTTTCCTGCAAGGATAGACACACGGGATGATAAGAGTCAATCAAGGCTTTAATGTCATCGAGATTAGAATGAAACCCACGACAGTTCCACTGTATCAAAGTGGCCATTGTTATGTATGTTTAGGAGAACAAGGTGGGGAACCCTTCGGTTTATGGCCACGTCGTTTTTCTTTACTGGAGGGAGGTCAATCGACCTTCATGGATCATGCCCTTGACCGAGTGGGCAGATCTCTGTCATCAGTGTGAGAATCCAATGACTGAGGCCGTGATCAAATGACTGTCCTGCTTTTAGGGGCCAAAGAAGGACCCGCACGGGCACCGAAGGCAGGTGCCCACGGAAGTTGACCCAGGCAGTCACTGGAAGGAATAGTGGGGACAGAGATCGGAGTCGACGTAGACCTATCAACTCTATTAACCATGGAGGGCAGAAAAACTCTCACGTGGCATGAAAAAGACTCAGATGGAGGCATGGAAAGGTCCGTCTGCACTCCCACTGTAGCAGTGGAGCGTAGTGCAGTGGCATATGTCTGAGATGGAGTAGGGAACAATAGCTTCCGAGCCTCTGGATAGGAAATGTTGTGAACAGTCTTCAAACGCTGTACCTCTTTCTCCTCTACCCACTTAGGGCAAGACCTAAAGTAAGAGGGGTGGGAACTACTACAATTAACACAGTGTGGGTCCACTTTACATTCATAGGCATCGTGGTCCTTGCCACCACAGCAAGATGTCATTTAATGACCGAACTGCTGGCACTGAAAACATCAGAGAGGGTTGGGAATATAGGGCTGTACCTTACAGTTTAAATAACCTGCCTTAACAGCAGCCTGTGGATGTGGTAATGAAAATGTTAAAATAAGAACTGAGGTCGGCACCATAATACCATCCTGACGAGTGGAGATCCGTCAAACAGCTGAAACTCCTTGGCTGGAGAGACCAGCAAGGATCTCTGACTCGGAGATAGACTTCATGTCCCTCTCGACAATAACTCCTCGTGATAAATTCAAGGAAGCATGGGGAGTAACCTCAATGGGTATATCCCCAATGGCCCTTGAATTCAAGGAGTTCACTGTGCTTAGCTGTGGATGTTTCGACCAAGATGTCTTCAGAACGGAGCTTCTTAACTGACTTTGGAGAGTCAGCAAGCCCCTCTAAGCCCTTCTGAATAAAAAAGGGGACAAAAGGGGAATAAAAAGTGAATGTAAGATCAGAAAGCGAGGTACAGGGCCACCTTGTGGTGGAGACTGCCGTGCACAGTCTTCTAGACATGGTCGTAAACAATAAGTGGAGTTTTTACTATTTTTTCAATTTGATTGGGGGATCCATAATTAAGAAAAAGGATTCAGTGCCCACTGACCCCACCCACCATGGAGTCCTACAAGGGGATGCACTACAATGTCAACTAAGGACACTGCAGCAACGTTAGGGTTTCGTGAGCACTATACCCAAACACCAGCATCAGACACAACACCCATTGAGAATGCCCAACACTAGTACTCAGTTGACCCAAGCCCAAGTGGACCAGCCGACTGACCCTGGGG